TATCAGCGATAATTTGTTTGACATCTTCATTGGTTAGATCCTCATAGTAGTCATCATTGATCTGAATCATAGGTGCGTTAACACAGGCGCCCAAACACTCGACTTCAATAACTGTGAAGTCTTTCTCGTCTTTCAGCAACTCTTTCGTGTATTCATACACTTCTTGAGCGCCTCTAAGCATACAGGGAGTGGTTGTGCACACCTGGACGTGGTATTTGCCAATGGGTTGTCTGTTGAACATCGTGTAGAAAGTGGACACTTCATAGACCCTCATGCGTGGCATTTGCAGATAGTCTGCCACATAGTTCATGGCCTTCAATGGCAACCATCCGTACTGTCTTTGAGCCAAATCCAGGAGTGGTATTACGGCAGCGCTTCTGAACCCTTCCGGATATATCGAGACAATCGCTTCCGCTCTCTATATGGCAGACAATCACATCATTATCACTCAAACTATCAAATGAGTGGTCATTCAAGACATGGAAAGCAATACTTTTTTGTTGTCGGCATTGAATTCAAAGTTCTTGGAGTCGACATCAGTCTCGCGGTGCACGAAGGAGACATCACTCAACAGGCGGGCACTTCCACCACAAATGTATGTCTTGGGAACCAATTTGCTGAACGAATGGCTCAGAAATGTCTTCAAATAAGACATTGTTTTGAATGAAATGAAGAGTTGTTTTGGTGTCGAAGAAGTCGTCAAATGAGAGACTGTTTATGGCTTTGAAGGCAACCATTGGTTGTGAACACAACACGTGACACACTTTCAGACGACTTTCAAAACATTGCAAACACTTTGTGTGCAATTGATTGACAACTTTTGTCTCTTTAAACACTTCCAACTCTTCCAACACTTTATCATCACATCCAATATGATGTCACTTAAGAGGTCAAGCATTTTGTTGACAATTTCAAGATATTCTAAGTCATGGCAAGTGTTGAATACATCGGGAGTCACCACAAATGAAACTCTTTTCCAACCACTGCTTCAAAAGCATTCAAATTATCACAAATTGATCCCATCTTTGAATATAAGAAAGACTTCGGACATCGCTCTTAAAGCAAGGACTCTATCGACAGATACGACAATCAAATCGAAATCTGTACTCAAGAGTGAGTCTCAGCTAAAATTAGCTCAAATACTAAGCAATTGTGCGATCGATAGCTTCCCACTCGTGAGGGATGAAGACATGGACTCTTCGCAAATGAAGACTAATTATAAAGAATTGTTTGAATCGATTAAGAGGTGCGAAGACCATGACTTGAATCACGTGTCGTATTACCCGAGTGTCACCACAATCCTCAGCTCAACGATGTCCGTCCAATCAGTCGTCGCTTTGGATAAGTGGAAGAAATTGAAAACCAGTCAATTGGGGGAAAAGGGCTTCAGAGACTACCAGAAGAATATACTGAGTCGCGGAAAACTACTTCATCTCAATATCAAGAACTTCTTGCAAACCAAAGACGAGTCGTGTCTCACATTAAACGAGAACATCGAGAAGTTGTGGC